GTTCATAATCCACCCCTCGTTACAATCTTTGGAAAAAATGAATCGAACCTCAGCCTTTTCCAAGGGCAACTTGGAAGCGCAAGTGCATCGACCATTAAGCAATTGAAAAATGAAGAGTGGCGCGATATCATCTTTGTATGTGTTGACCAACCTTGTCGAGGTGCAACCGTTCATTCGATGAAGTTCTAAACGAACTTGTTTCATTTCGCCATATGTCCTTGTTTCATCGTCCAACCCCTTGTTTCTCGTTGGTACAGAAATTTCTTCGTCAATCTGGCATGGATCAAGGCAACCTACACCGCAAGAAAATGATACCCTTCTTTCACGGGTGCGGGACTAGGGAGCCCGATTTCATTTGTTGGTTCAAACAGAAAGCCCAAACGATGCGCCTATAAGTGATGAGTTAAGACAGGTTTGCAAATGGTTTGTGCCGTTAGGGTCAAGTCATTTACGGTTATGACGTGAATGGATATCGTTTTCACCACGACAAGCTACTGACGAGTCGGCCCAATCGACAAACCACAAACAAGTGGAGTTATTACGCCCGGCGATGGACTCGACTATTATGGAAGAATTGAAGAAATCTCTGAAATATCATTTTATGGTTCCAAACCTCTTACTCCGATCATATTCAAATGCCACTTGGTTTCATCACAGTGTAACGAGACGGAGCCCTAAGCTCGGGCTAGTCGAGATTCGACGAGATTCCGTCTATCGAGGAAAAGATGTCTACATTGTGGCTCAACAGGCCGTCCGAGTTTATTATCGTCATCTGGCGTGCAAAAGACGCCGAGCATCTTAAGGGTTGGTCTATTGTGCACAATGTATCGCCACACGATAAACTACATCCCCAAGCGATGAAGATTATAACTTCAACCCAAACACATATGATGGAGAGTTCTATCAAGAAGAGGGGCTACAAGGGAGGTTTGACATAGACTTAACCAAGAGATAGGAATGGAAGTAGATAATGAAAGGGATGATGACGAGGGGCCATTTGGAGACGAGGTGCGAAATCTGAAGGATATACAAATGCTTGAGCGATTACATTTCGGCAATGACAATGAAGACAACATTCCTCCTTCGGATAGTGTTGATGAGTTGGACAATGTTGATAGTGATGACGAGACCTATGATCCAGCTAATTTCAATCATGAAGATTATTTCTAATACATGTAATACTATATTTTTTTGTAATTATGTTTTGTTCATTTTTGCATATATTTCTAATACATGTAATACTATATTTTTGTAATTATGTTTTGTTTATTTTTGCACCTATTTCTAATTATGTCTTGTTTTTCTTTTTTTTATTGCGGTGATTGAACAAAGATGGCGGCGCACCGTCATAGGTGCTGTGAACTCGATTTACCAAAGACAACGCCGGTCGCAGGAGGGGGGCAGCAGAGGGATCGAGCAGGAGGAGGAGGACCGCTAGCCGCGGGAGGGGGGCGTCTCTTCCCACGCCACGTGAGGAGGACCGCCACCCTTGGGAGGAGGTGGCGCCCGTGGACGGAGTCGAGACGAGGAGTTGGTTCGTGAGAGGAGGAGGAGGAGGAGGAGGAGGAGGAGGAGGAGGAGGAGGAGGCGGCGGCACGAGGTTTGCTTCCTCCAACTCCTCTTCGAGTGTCTACTTGCGAGGTCCCGCGAGTCTCCCACAGTTTCCGCCACACCAATGCCCACCGATTACTTACCAAGGACAAAAGTAAATAAATCAGCTATATTATCACCACTACTTCATATGATATGATGAAAAAACTAATAATTTTTCTTAATTACTCGTCAAATGCAGAACCGGGTGGTTGTGTCGGGTGGTAGCGCACGGCTAGTCAACAGCATCCTGGGTCTTTTGTGCGAGCAGCACTTCCCGGCATTATCACGTGCGCGCCGAAGACGGAGCCGGCCTACTCGTTGACCACTACGCCGCGCCTCCGATCGCGGAGTACCCCAACAAAGCGGCGCGGGTGAAGGCGAGTTTTGGTAAGTCTCCTTGCACAACATTGCTTTGAATCGTCGCATTCATTAGACTTTTCTTGAAATAATGAATCGATACATCGCTTTTGTATGCGGACTTATTACAGATCACGAGGAGGATTTGAGGCCGTAGCGGAGCAAAGCGACTACCAAAGCTCATAAAAACTCGTCACCGACATGCATCACGAGGCGCGCGCATCCAGACCATCGTAACCTACTACGGGTCGAAGCTTGGAGAGGAAAACCAAGAAAGACGCAAGAGAGATGCACGGTGACCGGGAGCAAGTACCTTGAGGTAAATGAAGAACATCAACATTGATTCAATTTGAGATTAAGTTGGTTTAATTTGATCTTCTTATATGTCCAATACTTGATGACGTGTAGGTGATTCCCCGGTGGTGCCAAGCGTATCCAGTGTTTGGGCGATGATGGTGGACAGGTGGTTCACGGAGGAGTACCTCAAGATGCAGGGGATGCCCGGACCGTCGTTCTTGATGCAAGGTCCAAAGACACCATCAAGGCAGCCGCAACCTCGCGGGATACAAACAAGCATGGATACGCGAATTGATTTATCTATTGTCACGCTTCGATTACATCGATTTCTAATCATCGTCTTGTCTTTCTCGCGATCGGCGTCACATAGTGGCGAGCTTGCTCGGACTTCGAGCATGGTGTATGGCCCACAAAGGGTAAGGCGACGTCCGGCGTCTCCTTCAACTTTGAGGACCCGCCCGAGGCATACGAACCCGGCGTCCACTCTCGCATCGGTGAGTACATTGAGGTGGCGAGGTCGCTCCATGGGGCGGAACCACGATCCGAGCACCGGGACTTGATGGAGAGGCCGTCATGAGGCGCGGGCAAGGCAAGAAGCATGGGCGGTTACGGCTTGGCGGCGGCGTCATCGACACGGCCTCTACTCCTCTCTCTCCCGGATCCGAAAGCACGAGCACGAGCGAGCCCGACCATTCGCACACGGCCGGCCATCACTGCAGCAAAGACCGGGTCGGCCTTTCGAGGTTATTCTGTTTTACTCGTCATACATTGATCTTTACACACCTTAATTAGCTTTGCATTACTTTGAAACATTGGGTGAAATATTGCAGGCCCGGCTAGAACAAGAAATGAAGGAACGCGGGGGAGCTGGGGGCCCGGTTGGAGGCCGAAGCGGGCGGCGGCGGCAGCCCAGCAGAGGGTGATGGACATTACGGATTTCCTACAAGGGCTTGGGCAGCGTATGGGCTTGTCTCTCGCCACACACGGGCTGTTGGTTCCACCTCCGCCTCCAGCCTGCTGCAATTGCAGCTACTCTCCTGTGAGTATCAAAGTTTTTTACTTTCACTTGTGCTTTGCTTGTATGGCCTCTATCGTCCTAGATTAGCTATCAAAATAATTTTGTCTCACATGCAATCTTTTCTCCTTTGTGCGTCTCCATCGGCGGTGGTTGAATAATCCACCTCATGCACCTCTGAATGATGCACTGGGCCTTCACCACAGTCGCGATGGCGAGATGAGTGCATGTTGTATTTTTTACATTTGTTGTTCACTTGGTGATGGACTTGTGATGCACTTGTGGACTTTGATGAACTTGTAAACTTATTTGGATGGACTTGAGCACTTATTATTACATATTGTGATGGATGTGTTATGGGCGGATGGATGTGTGGATGGATGAGATATATATGTGATGGATGAGATATATATGATGGATGAGATATATATGTGATGGATAAGATATATATGTGATATATGTTTGTATGAATGTATTTGTCATGATGGAGCATAAAAAAAAAATTATTTGCCGTTTTGGGTCACTTTGCCGAGTGTTGCACTCGGCAAGGATATACTTGTCGAGCGCAATGGTCAAAACACTTTCGGCAAAGCCGGCAAAATGGGCGACCGAAAAAACAGATTTTCCACTTTGCCGGAGTGCTATGACTATAACACTCGGCAAAGAAATTTAAAAAAAAATTTCAACTTTGCCGAGTGCCTAGAGTGGTGGCACTCGGCGAAAGAAAATTTCAAAAAAAATAAAAGCTCTTTCTTAGAAAGTATCTGCCGGGTTGGCTCGGCAAATAATTTTAAAAAAAATATATTTGCCGAGTGCACGGAGGCTTGGCACTTTCGACAAAGAAAATTTCAAAAAAATAAAAAGCTCTTTGCCGAGTGTCTGCTTAGGGTTGGCGCTTTCGGCAAATAATTTTTAAAAAATAAAAAATCTTTGCCGAGTGCACAGGCTTGGCACTCGACAAAAAAAATTTTCAAAAAAAAAAAAAAGCTCTTTGCCGAAAGTGCCTTCCGGGTTGGCGCTCGCAAAGAATTTTTAAAAAAGGCTTTGCCGAGTGCATGGAGGTTTGGCACTTTCGGCAAAGAAAATTCTCAAAAAAAAAATAGAAGCTCTTTGCCGAGTGCCTCACGTGTTGGCACTCGGTAAAAAAAGTTTTAAAAAATTTAAAAAATCTTTGCCGAGTCTGCGGCAGGTTGACACTTTCGGCAAAGTGACAAATCAACGGAACCGGCGCCTGCGGATTAAGCTTTTCTTTTAGAGTGTTTCAGGGGCACTTTCGGCAAAGCCTTCTTAAGTGCCCGATAAAATACACTTTCGGCAAAGAGTGCTTTGCCGATCAATTTTTTGCCGTGTGTGCTTTGTTGAGGCCACACACACTCGGCAAAGGCTTTGCCGAGTGCAATATAGCCTTTGGCCGGTGCCTCGAGGCACTCGAAAAAACCTGAATCCATGGTGGGTAACCACTCTTGTAAGTGCAAATTTTTTTTTTTTTTTGGAACTGGCACAGCCTGATAACTTTTTAGGTTGACATGCTGAGAGAAGAAGGGCTGGCCTCCTTCTATGGAGGCTTGGGTCCATCTCTTATAGCAATTGCACCCTTATGTTGTTGTGAACTTCTGTGTTTTTGACCTGTGAGATTCCGTCTACTGCATATGAATACTACGATACATGAAAGCTCCACATAAATTTAAATATTTACATCACATTTTTTTAACATTTCATTCTTTTTTGATGTACAAGAATGAAGGAATCTGTCCCAGAGAAGTACAAGAATAGACGAGAAACGTCTTTAGCAACTGCTCTTCTTTCAGCAACATTTGCAACTTTGATGTGTTATCCCCTGGACACTGTTAGGAGCCAGATGCAGATGAAAGGCACACCACACAATACAGTTTCTGATGCTATTCCAGGTAGTTATGCTAGCATTGCATGAGCTAATGGCTGAACCCATTTTTAAGTCTGTTTCAACGCTATGCAGGCATTGTGGAGCGTGATGGTCTAGCCGATATCGCCGTAGCGTTAGCACGGGCAACATACCCCCATTCTATTTTAAAAATTCCTTATTCTTAGCTGATTCCTTTGAACTCTATACCCCAGTCAGCAACACTCAAATTACTATTTTTAGATTCTTGCAAGTGTTGATAGCATCTCAATGGATAGATTAGTAACATTTAGAGAGGGACATTTTGGGTGTTAACAGCGCCCCTACATAACACAATAGTTTTTCTTTCACACAGTTTCTTGATTGACTCTTCTTCTTTGTATTTTACTTTATCTCATCTTTAGGTACAGCATGATGATTGTACTACAGCTTTTTCCAAGAGTCACACTATGATATCCTGAATCTATGCATATTCGTGCTACTTCAAGTTTGCAAAAGAACTGGGATTTGTGATGACACATCCCCTATTATACTGTTCTAATTTGTTGTACTCTCCCATGCAGTTAATGTCCTCAATACACTCTTCACCAGTCTGAATTCTCCTAGCCAGGTTGGTAGGCGAATGGCGGTGATCCTTGTGGCCAGTCATGGCAGGGCATTACTTGCTTAGGATCAGGGGTCACTAAAATGTGAGCCTTGTGATGCAGTATAGTTGCAGGCATCTAATATAATGCAGAGATCTCTCCTTTAATTCTCTTAGTGGTGATCTACCATAAAGTTTTAAGAAACATCGTCGTTTGGTGTTTTGATGTGTATCTCTGAAATGTCGTCGTGGCGTTAGCACGGGCACTATACTAGTATTAGCTAAGCTGACACCTGTATCTGAGCTTGTTTTTGTGCTCCGATTGATGCTAAGAGTTAGGACTTGAATGTTTGTTCAGATTGGATCAGGTTTGGCTCCTCTTTCTTGTGTGACAATTTGACTGTCGCCACCTATACATGTGTGCATGACCAACTTTAGTGTTTGCTTGGTGTTTTATACTACTGTGCAGTTTATTTTTAGAATTTGTTGCAATACAATAGGGTATCGGGAACTTAGGTCTGTCAGTTAACCTTGTCCATGAGATAAGTATGTATGCAACACCAAAGTTTCTGAAATCTGAATCGATGATGTGGTCTAGCAATGCGCTTATAAGGTATCATGGATTTCTAGTGCACTGTGGCTCTTTTGCTTTCGACCATGACCACACCCCTTATCCTTTTGGAGTTATAGATATCCATGCATAGCAATGGTTGATCGAATGCTGAACAAGGACAGAGTTTCATGGATTGCCTTCTGACTTTGGCCAAGATATTTTAGGTTTGTCTTTATCATGACAAGGGCTATTATGCCTATAGTTTTGTTTTGGTATTTATCAGTTATCATTGCCTTTATTCAAGTCAGGGATATAGGTGACAAAAATGTTAATGGACTGCACACATGTGACAGTTTGTATCTAGGTTTTTATATTAATGGACCGTTGTATACACTTTTTAATTTATTTTTATGCCGTGCCTTGTTCAATAGGTGAATCCTTCCTGCTCATTCACCTCAGAAGTGGTTAAATACCTCACATCGCATACCAGAGTGGTGGAGCTGAAGTAGTCAAGGTATACTTTTTCAGTTTCCTTATAGTCTACTGAATTTAGATTAGTAACTCTTAACGAAGAATTTCAGTTTCTCATACCCATGTTGATGATACAGGTTCATATATCAAGCACCTGTGATTTGGGGTTTTGCAGATATGAACCCATATCATTTACCTTCCAGTTATAGCCTGCTTATTGCATATCCTATTATCCTACGCTATATCATATAAGATCTTTAGTTTCTGAGCCCCGGCTATACTGTGTCTTTGAGAAAAAATTAGATATGCTAATTTGGGCTGCAACTAAGTGCTCTTATTATGATGCATGCATCTATCTCCAAATTCACATTGCTATATGGTACCTCAGTGCTTGGTGCATGTAAAAACCGTTTTTGCTGATGCACCATGTATTGTTGTTGCACTGTCAGCTGACAGCGGTGCAAATGATGAAAATCTTTGCTTTTCAGCCTCTGATGAAAATGACATCATGTAACTTGAGAGTATAGACTGATGATCTTGCTCAGCTATTACCATAGTTACCATTAAAATTTGCTCAGCTATTACTATATATACCTTCACTCATTGGGACATGTTTGGTTTTAAGCAGGAGCAATTGTCAAGTGAGGACAGTAGGAAGGCTGGCAGTGAGGCAACATATAGTCAATTGGATTTACACTTGCATATGTAATGCACTAGTTATCAGTAGTGAAATTCATGAACTGCTGAGATGAGATGGTAATGCTTTTGAATGTATTGATGCTGGACCAATTGGACATCATCTATATGTAGCCCGGATGCCATTAATGAATGTGCTGAACATTTGGATCTTTATATGTATGCTATCTATTATGTTGTGATGAAATTATAGCATGGACAATCCATATTTAATATGTTGTTGCTACTGTTCTGTTTCTATATAATTATTGTATCTAATTTGCTGCATGGTTAAGGGTTTTTCTGTCGTTGGTCTGTTATTTTTCTGTGTGTTAACTGAGACTGACAGAAAAATAAAAAATTTCCTATGAGTGTACCTCTACGACTCTATCGGGACAACATCGACAGAAAAATCATTTTTCTGTCGGGCTTTTCGTTTTTTCTGTGAGGATTAATGCACACAACATTTAAATTTAATCTGGGCTAACGCAATTTTTCTGTGCGTGTAACACCCATAGAAAAATCATTTTTCTGTCGGCCTTTTCTTTTTTTTGTGAGGATTAACGCACACAACATTTAAATTTAATCTGGGCTAATGCAATTTTTCTGTGCGTGTAACACCCACAGAAAAATTATTTCTGACAGTGAAACAAGTGAATTTTTCTATCATTATATTTCCGTGTGTGTTTTTCTGAGGGTATACCGTCAGAAAAATATTTTTCTGACAGTATTCGCGTTTTTCTGTGTATTTTCGCACACACAGAAGAATGCGAGTTTCCAGTAGTGTAATTTTGCATCAAGATCATTGGCTCTTTCGGCCATTCAGACGCTGCCTGCTTCACACGGCATCAAACGGTGTATCCAGTCTGAACTAATGCAAGAACAGCCAATGCACGAACAATAATCAGACTGGCCACATTATGGTAGAACTGTCATATACGTACAGACAATAAAGGGTACACTAGGAGAAAAATGTACATATAATAGCAGGTAATATAAAAGATATTACACTGAACTGAAGCGCCAGCAACACACGAGTGCATGCCGACTGATCATCTTTACACATATATATCACTACTAATACAAACACCCAAAAAACAAATAAGAAAGGAGCATAAAAAAAAAACACATCACGGCCCAATATGAAAGGCCCATCGATCACCCAGAAAATGGAGATGGAGGCCCAAAAAAGTGACAAAATACAGTGACAGTACATAGGAGTATTATTATTAATACTATGATATGATACGACTGAAGTAATTAAACTGCTAAGCGCACCCAGCAACTCACCACGCCACAGTCCACCACCGGCGGGCGCAGAGGCGGTCGACGATCGATCCGGGAAGACGACGATCAGTAGTAGTAGGACGACGCGGAGCCGCCGAGCTGGAAGCCGTCGGCGCAGGCGTCGTCGACGGCGGGCATCGGCGAGAAGAGCGGGCTGTGCACGTACCCTTCCTCGAAGTAGACCCCGTGCGAGGCGGCGGACGACGCACCGTACGCGCTGAACTCCGACGCGTCGCACCACCCGCCGCCCCCGCCGCTGCCAGAGCTGGCATTGGCGCTGCCGCCGCCTCCGCCTCCGCCTCCGCTGTACATGGAGGACATCATGTCCACGGATCCTCCGCCATCTTCGGCGCCGTAGTCGGCGGTCAGGTCGTCGGGTATGGCGAGGTCGTCCATGAGAGCGGACATGTCCTCGGCGCTATAGCCGTAGGCGGAGGCGTAGTCGCCGCCGGCGGCGCCGTAGCCCGCCGCGCCGTTCGCGGCCGGCGGGGCCGCCGCCTGCAGGGACGCGGCGGCGGTGTCGGCGTAGAATGGCTGGAGGAGCTGATGCGTGGCCTTGTCGCCCGAGGTGAGGTCCGGGGACAGGTAGGGGGTGATGGAGGAGCCCGGCGGGAGGTCCGGGTAGGCGAAGTTGGTGCGCGCGCGGGAGCCGCGGAGGGAGCGCGCGGCGCGGTCGTATGCTACGGCGGCCTCCTCGGCCGTGTCGAACGTCCCCAGCCAGTGCCGCTCCTTGGTGGCCGGGTCCCGGATCTCCGCCGCGTACCGGCCCCACGGTCGGCGCCGCACGCCCAGGTACCGCGTCGTGTTGGCGTCCGGCTGCGGCGCCTGCGCCGCCTGCTGCTGCCGGCGCTTGGAGGACGACGACGACGACGACTTCTTGTCGGAGGATGACGAGGAGGAGAAGAAATACGACGAGAAATTCATGCTGTCGTGTCGACGACCACAGGGCACAGGCCGAGAGCTTCAGCTAGCTAGAGAGTGGTGTGTGTCTGCGCGCGCTTCGTCGTCGTTGACAAGCAAGCTGAGGAGGCAGGAGAGAGATGATGCAGATGGAGAAGGAGGTCAGAGCAGAGGTGGTTGAGCTGGTAGTTGTTGGAATGGTGGTGCATGGGGCGGTTGCATGGCAGGAGTATATATAAGCGCGGGAAAGCGAAAAGGGCAGCTTGTTTAGTGGGGCGGAGGTTGGCCATGAAAAGAGGATTAACAAGCTGATCCGTCGTTATATGCCACTGCTACATACTATACTCACTGTTATATATTACTCCTCTCCTTGGAAAAATATAATCATATTCGCAGTACGTATCATATGGCTACATGATTATTCAGAGGAAGGGAGGGAGAGAGCGTGATGAACCAAACGGTAGCAGCTAGCTAGCGGCAGTGATCTCTTTGTTGGTTTGATTCAGTGTGGGGACAGCCGAAGGTGGTCAACCCGCCAATGATTTGGACCGGTGGATGCAACAGGCCGGAGGGTACATGATTGTACATGGCATTGATTTGGCATCAATCATATACGTACAGTAACTGAAATTTTTATTATACGATATATATGTGTGCATATGCATGTACCCAAACCAGAGATAATTTGAGATGAGATGCCTGAAAGCTGAAGCAAGAAAGTTTTTGGGGCAGCTGAAAATATCTGTCTAATTGGTTCTTTGCATTAGAGGTTGCTGTGCATTAGAGGTACGTAAATTAGCAATGTCGCTAATTATTTTAGTAAAAACGTAACTTAGCACTGTAGACAATATGTGATGATACTTAGGATGACGATTGACGAGAGGCACAAAATCTGGATGATACCGGCGAGGAAAGAAGGAACAATGCAAAAGGGCAGTAATAATAAATGTCGGACAAGTCTAGATGGTTCATTAATTTTTGCGATAGTCGAATTACTGTATTCACCTTCACCCTGGACTGAACGTTATGTCGTCGACGGACCCATGCCGTCGTTGGAACCACTCGGCTCTTTTGGCTGGTCAAAAATGGTAGTACTACTCTTTGAGTCCTGACGGGCGGTGTGCATGCATGCATGGCCGGCATGTCGTGGGCGGCGCATGTGGCCCGGCCGGCCGTTGGGTCGACGATGCGGCCATGCAGGTGCAGAGGGCCAGCAGTACGGCCCACCAGGCACCACCAGGGCCACGATCGACGTCCGGCCGGCCGGCCGTCGCCCGCAAGGGCAAGGCCGCAGACGCGCTACACCGACCACGGCAACGACCACGACGACGAACGTACGCGCGCGCATGCAGAGCGAGAGACACGGCAAAGAAGCCGGGCGCCCCCAAGGAACGAACGAACGAACGAACGTGCGTGCGCGCATGCATGCTTGGTTGGCCACCGGCAAGGGCGTACCGCGTACACGTACCGACGTCGTCCATGGCCAATGGCAGCAGGGTGCAGTGCAGTGCAGGCAGCACCACCGGCCCAGGGGCGCTTCTGGCGGCCGGGTCCACCAGCAGCAGCAGCTGCAACCTGCAAGCAACCGCCGCCATTACTCGTGGTGCACTGCACAGCACGCAGGGGATGCTCATGTCTGGGAACAGCATCCAGACACGGATCGTTTTCCGGTACGTCAGGGCTTTAAATTCCCCGGAGGAGTAGTTGTAGTTGCGTGGGACTGGGATCGATCGATCTGCCGGCACATGATCGACGAGGATACGGCGATATCCACCGGTACGGTGGACGGATCAGCGAGCAGCCAAATGCATTATGCCCAGCCCTGCAGCCGGGCCGCCCCACATCGCTATGCCAATGCCAATGCAATGCCATGGAGGCACGCAGCCTTGTGCCCTTGTCCCGCCGGCCGCGAGACGTTCGCTATCACATCTCTCGCGATCGATCGACAGGATTGTCACTTGTCAGCAGTGACGACGGAGATCATGCATCATCTCATCTGTCATGCACCACTTGTCACGTGGTATCCGTCGATGATCACAAGCTTAATTAAACCCCACACCCTCGATCTAGCTAGCTCTAAGATCAAATTAGAATATATAAACATATAGGGCCATCAATTCGCAGCTGATGCACATATATATATGCATGTGTCCTTTGACTGGGCGGCTGGAGAACATTGACATGCGTGGTGCATGGGGGCATGCAGGGCCGGCCAGGGCGCACCATAACGTGGGACGTCGTTCGTACAACGAGATCCCAACCGACCAAACTGCTGTGGTCCATGCCGCATATGCCTGCTCTCCTCTCCTCCTGGTGAGATGAGGAGCCTTAAGCCTAGCTACTACCAACTTGCCCTGCTGCGTGCCTATATCATATTTTTATATATATACTGCTGCACAAAGTACTGAAGTAGCACGCATTAACATTACCTGATGATGAGTCAAGGGTCAATGTGCCAAGGGGAAGCGCAGGGCGACCCGCGCTAGCACAGACGTTTACATGCTGGCCCTGTTGGTTTAAAGGAATTTGGATAAATTTGGATGAACTTGTGAGAGCATGAACAGTGTTACGCACCCGCTGTCTTCTTACTACCACCGTATATATGTTTTGGGATGCCTCTGCATGCACCGTGTTGGATTGGAAAATAAAGTTCAGGATTTTATTTAGTACAGCGGCCAGATTTAATTATTACTGTTATTTGCATTATTTCTGATAGGTCCTCTCTTTGCTTCATATATTTAATTTTCATTTTCATTGCTCCTGGAGTGGAGTATACATAAACCCAGTACTTGGTCAGTTTGATTATTGCATGGGCTCATTGGCAATTTTTTTATTTTTAACAATTTTTGTAAACTAATTTTAAATCTAACACTATTTTATTTTTTTTCTAAAACTAACACTTTTGCCCGCGCCTATTTCCATGGCGCGGCGGTGGCGCAGCGAGGGGGGTGACGTGGCGACGACCGGAGCGCTGACCGGTGACGTGGCAGGGTCTGTCACGCCACCGATCTTGGCGCGTCAGTGCCACGCCACGGCCCACGGCACAGCAGTCCTAGGTAAATATCGCCCGCGAGCCGCCGCCCTCCCTCTGTCTGCCTGCCCACCGCCGCGCCTACCCGCCTGCCCGCCTGCCTGCCCGCCGTGCCTGCCGCCGGCCGCCGCGCCGCACGCCGCCGGCACGCCACTCCCGCCGCGCCCGCACGACCACGACGACGACGCACGCCGGCAGCGAGTAAGATTGATTAAAGTCCTAATCAAGTGTTAATTTTGGTTTAGGCGTTCCTGGAATTAGGTTAATTAAGATCTTGTCTAAGTATAAGTTCTAACAATTGGTATCCGAGAAGCCGCTTAGCCTAATTCTTGAACCCTAAGACCTAATTAGTGTTTGGTTAAGATCTAAATAGCCTCGGATTTGTCCGATTCAAAGTTCTTTAAGCCAAATCAGAATATAGGGTTTCGCTTAAGCACCGAGGAGGGGAGTCGAATCAACTTCAACACTAAGCCCCAGTTTTTGCCCAAATCCGAACCCTAGGAATGCAAATTACCCAAATCCGATACCAATCCCCAACCCTAAGATCAGTGAGACGCTTTTCACTTACCTTAAGAACTACGATGGCGCCATCGGGCTCCTTCATGAGTTCGCCGGCGGCCACAAAAGGGAGCCACACTACCGCCCTGCTTTGTGCGCGCGATGTCTCCGCCCCAAAGCGAGTAGATCACTGCTGGGGCATTAAGAAGCCATGCCGCCGCCCTATTCTTTGGCTCCCGCTGCGCCCTCCCGTGCCGCCCGCGCCACGAATGCCGGTGCACCATGGCCACCGGCCGCCCGCTGCGCCCGTCGCGCCCGCATGCCGGCGCGCCACCCCCTCTGGCTGCTCGCCGCGCCACGGACGCCCACAGGCATAGAAGACGAGGGTAGCGGGTCCATACACATGTAGCCGAGAAGAACGATCTCCGAGCAGTGGTCGGGACAGTCCCCGAGCACATCAGTAGCCGAAGCAGTCCCCAAGCGTGGCAGTGGTCTGAGCAGTGCCCAAGCATGGCAGTGGTCTGGGCAGTCTCCGAGCACGACAGTGGTCTGGTCCATCATTGAGCTCAAGATATGCAGCCAAAAGAAAAGAACGCCGCTTGTATTATTATTTGGTGTATTTATTTATCTCCTTACTCTATCAAGTCCAATCTGCCACGTCTGGTCGAAAAAGCAGACGGATATAACATATCACTTTGCCTTCTTACTCTTTCTGGCAAACAGTCGCTTGGCGCCTGTATGGAGGTGCGTCAGTGTGGGCCCTCTCACATTATCAACGAAGAGGCGCGTACACTGGAAACGAAGAGGCGCGTTTGTTGGCGTAGATCTCGAGGTTGTGAAAACAACCGTCTGCGGCGCGTGCGCACGTCTCCCAAGAATCTTGGGCGGACGAAACGATGAAGCCCTTGGTTATTTACAATATAGAGCTGGTAAGTTACTTTTTACCGATCCCCATTGTCATTCACCGCCGCAACCTTCTTCTTCCTCTCACCGAACCCTACTCCTCCGAAAATCACCACCAATCCCTCCTCCACCGCATCCACCCTCTTAACAAGGGCAGATCAATGGCGAAGAGAAACGCCCAGAAGAAAGGCGGAGTCATGGCGAAGGAGTGGTGGAAGTCAAGGAGCAATGAGCAGACCATCGAAGACCTCGTCGCCATGGGAGTGCTCCACAACAAGGCACTTTCATGGGATGGCGTCTTGCCGGAGGGAGGAAAGCTTCCCGATCCACAACCAGTGTGAGATTGTGGTTTTCGAGGATTTCTTCAAGCGGGGTTTTGGGGTTCCAGTGCACCCTTTCCTTTAGGGGCTCTGCTTATATTACAAGATTGGGATTTGCAATCTGCATCCCAACTTAATTCTTCTTGTCTCCACCTTCATCCATCTTTGCGAAGCTTATGGTGGCTTCTAGCCCCATTTCGACCTCTTTCGCATCTCTGCTCATGCTGCGGAAGAAAGGGAGCGAAGGCTCAAGATAGCCGGAGGCGTATACC